TTTCTTTTTGAAAAATTTTGTATATATTATACTATATGCAAAGCTACAAATGTAAACAAGAAATAAAGTTCATTTCTCTATCTTTTATCACTTTGTTTATCTTATGGGCTATATTGTCTGGCTACTCTGAATCTTTTTTCGTCTTGTGTGGACTATTCTCATCTGCATTTACACTTTTTATTTTTAAACGATTAATAAGTGCTGAGGATTCCCTTAATCGTATCTTAAGCAGCACAAAGAAGCTATCATTCTGTGGGTTAGTAAGTTATATACCATGGCTAATGTACCAGATTATTTTATCAAGTATTTATTTAACAAAAAAGGTGCTGCAGTCTGATCTTCAGCTTGAACCGGTTATTATTTTAAAAAAGTGTAAAGGTCATAATGACAAGAATATTACTCTATTTGCTAATTCAGTTACAATTACTCCAGGAACTTTAACTATTAATGTTGAAAAAAGTCGGCAAATATACATAACTACAATATGTTTAATAGATAAAAGTCTTGAAAGTGGTATTTCTGAAATAGAAAATAAAGTATTAAATAATTGTTCTCAATAGGTTAACAGAATTCCTATATTCTTTTATTAAGCTTTCAAGTATCTCCCTTGGAAGGCTATTACTAACAATAGAACATAAGTGATTATACAAATCTTCTAACCTGGATATATTATTCTTTTTTTTGCTACTAAATTTATATGGAAAAATCTCTTTCATAATTTCAATAGCAACAGCTTTGTGTAAAAATATATTTTCACCTGCTACACTTATTCTTACTAAAGTGGTACTAGCTTCAAGTTGCTCTTCTGTATGAAGATCTGGCAATTGAGTCACCTTAATCACATATAAAGTTGTTATTTTTGACAAGCGATTGTCAGTATATTGACAATTCTTTATCACTTCCCATTTAGTAACCTGAGATTTACTTATTTTCGCATTGTGTGTTGGTTTATTCATCTAACTCTCCATGTAACTAAGTACGAAATTATACCTCTATTTTGTTAAATAAATGATAATATGATCGTAAAATCCAAATTCTGGATGGTGTATGGTCAGCTATAGAAAATCAACTTCTCAATTATTAATTGAATAGGAGTGCTATATATACCAGTTATTATTGTCAAATTTGTCATGAGTAACAGGCAGAAAATCATAGGTGCTTGATCATTTTTACCGA